ATAAAAAAAGACTTATGGAAATCCAATGAGTGGTTCCAGAGATATGGCTGGAATAAGCAGCCTCACTAGCCAAAAAAGTCATTTTGAGAAAACGACGTTTGAAAGTTTTGAGCACATAGGCAGTTCTAAAATGAACCTGCAGCGTAACTGGAGGTGTCGTTTGGCACTCTCTTTCTTTGCCGCCTTTCCATCTTCTCTAGGGATCGCTTCTTGGCCTTTTTCAAGCGCTGAGAATCTTTCTCGGCTGCCCGTTGAATGGCCAGGTGGCCAGGTGTTAGCCCCACTGATGAAGCTAGCTCTTGGGTGGCCCTGTAGCAGCCAGCATTGTATCTTAGCACTGCATCATGCAGTGCTGTCTCCACAGCAATCAGTGACGCATGCTGCTCTTTGGGCATGAGGGACCACAGCACAGAGTGAAAGGACTCTGATGCATTCTGCGTCTTTGCTCCCAGGCAGCGTTGCAGAAGAGAAGCCTGTGAGAGCCTCTTATAAATGGGTAGAAGTGCATCTGCAACATAGCGTGGCAGCTTGTACGAATGCTTCGGAGGTGGAACACCGGTAATCTTGCTGGCATTGTGACGACACCAGGAGTCTGCACCCTCTGGGCACAAGTCGTGGTGCGGCTCCTCATCCGTCGACGTCACATGGTGGTACGATGCCATCACTGCCCGCCGCATTGCAGCCACATCATCGGAATTGTTCCGTAGGGCCCAGCCATAATAATCTGTCAACTTGTCGATGAGGGCCTTTGTCAGCCTGCCCTTCCCTCCCAAAGCCTTGTCACTTTTCTGCACAAGGTTGCGAAGTGCAGTCCCCATCCTCTTCTGAACGTGGTTCAGGCATTCCTCTTTTGAAATGGGGACCAGTCCATAAACATTTTCTTGTACAAGGGCAGAGAAGGCGGCACTATCTCCATCAGACACGAGCGTTGTGCAACGGAGGTTGTGCTTCGACAGTGAGCGTGAAAAGAGGATGATAGCTGCCTCAACCTCCATTCTCCCCGATTTAGAGTCGGTGTTTTTCTGGCACACATGATTCTCCAGCCAGCATGCATAGTCTGCGTCTCCAGGCTTTGGCCCTACTTGGCAACCAAGGCACTGATTAGACAGAACAACGGCGTCCAAGATAAGGCCCGTATGGTATTCGATAATTGCCCCGACTCCAATATGGGATGTGTGCCCACGCTTGTGCCATGTTCCATCATAACAAACTGTTATATCCCTGGTGAAATATTGATCCATTTCTTTGTAAGTGGCTTTTACAGCAGAAGCAGATTCTGCATAGAAATTTTCTATGCATTGTGTCTGCGGTTCCCTGAATTTCTTCAGGTGCTTCTGAAAGGTCTTGAGATGGAGGCCACGATGGGACACATTCATCGCTGCCCAAAAGTCGTTGAGAGCTGTTTGTCCCTTGCCTATTTGTTTTGTTGCCATAATGGCTCTTACATTCACATCAAAGGCCTTTGTGTCATCCTGACGAGATGAACTCCATGAGCTTGAAACTACTCCACAATGCAAGCATACTAGCTCAAGCTTTGCAGCAGGTCCAAGTTGGGTGCCTCCTCGTACCTTCATCCCAATCGCGGTGCACCGGTGGCACGGGGTCCGAGATAGCAGGTCGTCTAGGGCATCCATTTGCACAAGGAAAAATTTTAGATGCGGAAGCATCTTATACTCGCGCCTTGTAGTGCGCCGTCCGCGCCGTCCGCACCGCTTCTCAAACATTCGACAGCTGAAGCGCGCGCATGCGCCGTCGCGCCGTCGCCCACTCTTCCACCATCTGTGCATCCCTTCCTCCTCTACACACCGCGCGCGCTTCACTCCTCCACCATCTGTGCACCCTTCCTCCTCTACACACCGCGTTCGACATCTACAATTCTCCTGATTCTCCAGTGGACGCGCATGTGGCGTCGCGCTTCGAGAACATTCAACAGCTGACAGTGCACGCGCCGTCGAGCTGTATATATACTCAAGGTCGGCGCTCGCTCGCTCAGTTGCCGCTCGTCGGTTGGTTTGTACGGCGCGTCGACGTCCAAGGTCGCGGTGAAATGAATTCCAACGAATCCACAAACACAATGATCGACGTCCCTTCGACCAGCGCCGCCCTTTCGCATACGTGTGTACGTGTTCACTCATTTAACACCCCCTCCTACAACCACGTTAACCAATTTAGCCATCGACCCAAGTAAGTCGCAATTTAACACCCCATTTCACAACCACGTTAACCAATTTAGCCATCGACCCAAGTAAGTCGCACTTTAACACCCCGTTAACCAATTATATGCTCCGCATCCTCCTCAGTGTTCCCCCGAGGGAAGCTGCGGGCAATTTTTTTCGCCTTCACTTGTAGCGGTGGCAGCTTCATGATCGCGCTCCATTGCCTGAAATTTCCGCTCCGCCGCTGGCATAGCACCAAGTTCTCTTTGCACAGCAGCGCGTTGTTGATCCGCCGCCTCTTTCTTCTCGCACGTCAGGAAACTTGTTCGCAAATGCATAGTTGACGACGCGATCGCAATCGAGGCCGATGAAAGAGAAGATGCGGAAGCCACTGTCGATGAGTACGAGACACCAGGCGCACTTGTAACGACAAATTCTTGCACCGGCGGAGCAGGAGTCCCGTCGCTAGGCGCGTCGATGAAACCACTCTCTTGCGTAGATGAAGCAGAAGCTGCCCCACAGGTGCCGTCGGCGTGATCACCGTCGGCGCACGTGCGAGCGGAGAGCCTCGCCGCACGGACAAGCTTCATAGCTCGCTTCCTTGCACCGAACGATTGTAGCGTCTTCTTTTTCGTTGGGCACATCGTGAGCGAACACAACAACGGTCTTGTATAGACGGTTGAAAATCGTCTCGTAAAGACGGTTGAAAATTGTTTCGAAGACAGTTGAAACGTGGAGAGTATGCGAACGGCTGCAACGATACACGGAAGCGAGCGGAACACAAAGACGCCGGACGGAGGAGCAGCAGACGAGCGGCCACATCGGCCGCATTATGCGCAAGAGCGCTACGTCATCGCGCGCAGCAGCCAATGGCAATCGCGGACTCCCCCGCGTCCTTGGGAACGCGCGCTTCGCCCAATCCTAGCTGCGCGCCTCAGCCGCGGGAAATTTGAAAGCTCTCGCAAGCCCTCCAATCATGAGCGGCTTGCTCCTCTCCTGCGCTGCCGCCGGCGACGCAGGTGGCGGGGAAAGAAAGAGCAAGAATTCACAAACAAAACAACACCAAAATGGCGGCGCTCCGTCGAGCGGTCGAGAAACTGCGATCACGCCAAGTTGGGGTATTTTGAGCGCTCGCGCGCCGCTCGAGGGCCGCCGCGGCATGTTCTAAACTTTATTTCAAATGGTTTCGCGACGAATTAGACGTTGATATTTACAGAAAAGGTAGTTTATGACACATACTGCCCGAATATGTGGTTTGCCAAAAATCGACTTTTTCGCGATTTTTCGGTTTTCAAAGGCCGCGTCCCCCCTTAACAAGTCATTTAGGGACCATGTCAAGCGCCAGAATGCGAAGTGAATGAGGTCCGGAGAACCAGAAGCGACCCTTGCCGGACAGCTGAAACAGACCTCGTCAGCAATGCTCTGCTCGTGAATAGACGAGGCTTGGGCCTGCATTTTCGAGATGCTCGTTTGCCGCGCACTCAAAAAGAGCTCCATCTCGAACATGCTTGATGGCACTGAGGATGATGTGCTGTGGGAGAACATTTTTGACAAGGGTGCTTCGGAAGAGAGTGCGCCCGACGACAACGATGATTGAAGTGTGTCAATAAATGTATTTTTCTGTTTCACTCGGGCTACATTCGGGTGAGAACTTTTTTTTTCTTGCGTTTGCTATCCTCAAATCACACTCCCGAATATATGCGGGTACGAGCTATATGCGGGCTTTTATGGTATTTAAAGCACACCAGAATAAGAGCTTAAATTTTAAATATGTATGTTATTGTTAATTTTCGTTTGTTTCTATGCAGCTTACAAGGTAAAAAAAGTAGAGCATGAAAATCGGTGCTGCTGTTGTGGCGTCTGCAGGGAAACGGGTGCAGTTGCGCATGGGCACGGTGTTTCCAGAGTAGCTAGATTCCCGTCGCGCCAGGCACGTTGGAAGAAGCACGCGAGCTTGTGAATGCAATTGCTGCGGCACGCGAAATGCCATCGACCTACTGCTTTAGGGAGAATTGCTACCACTCATGCACGCTGCTAGTGATGGCGATGGTGGTGGTCAGTCGGAGTTATTGCTACTGCAATCGTCTGTCAAAGCATGCGGCTCTGGTGCTACTCCATAGGGGTCGGAATTTCACGCTCGCATGTGAGCCAATATTCGTTCCTCTAACTCGCTCAAGTTGTCAAGCGATGATGAATCGAAGCCGTTCAACTACGGCTGCACGTGAACTACAATGTGTGATTTGTTGATCACATGTAAACGTGTCATTTCTTTTTCGACGACTTGGCTTAGCTCGACTTTGCTACAGTAAAAAAAACAACTTGTGCACAGCCAAAAGTAGATGCATAAGAAGCCCCGGGAAAGTGCTATAACTCTTGTAAAATAATGTAGCATGCTAGAAAGCAGTGGTCATGGGTCTGCAGGCTTGACAAACAAAATATTACATGTTTGCACCTAGGGCTTCACTTTTGATCACTGCTGGCGTTACACTGGCATATAATCGCTATCTCGATTGCATCCACTGCTTGCAGCACGTCTTCTTCAGACTGCATAATTGCCACAAATTGAAAAATCGTGATTATGAATGCCCTACGGCGTTTTTCCCGTTACCATTCCTCAATTACAAGCTCTGACTGGTAAGCTTTCCGTAGCACTCAAGAAAATGGGTACCATAAATACTGGTTGTGGGTCCCTTGAAGTGACACAATGAAGACAAAGCAGCAATAGTGCACAACTGATCCAGAAATGTAAACCATGTTGTAACATGCACGTTTAGGCTTCATGTAAAGCCACATTCTTGCTACATTTTTCTTTTTTGGTGGAACGACTAAATCAAAATAACTCACTGTGTGCAGCAATGTCCCATGTTCCACCAAGGTAACCAACCACTTCACTCTCTGTCAAATGGCAATGAAAGTCCTGTCATGAGAGAGAAAGGAAAAAAAAAAGCCATTCATAAGAATTATTTATAATACTGAAGTTATGAGAAAAAACAAACAAAAACACTAAGAATATTAAACATGTTCAACTAAAGAATACAGTAAGCTTTCGGTCGTGAAAGCTTGACGAGACCTCCAAGATTTTGGATCAATTATTAGAAGTTCTCATTCATATGACTCAAGGCAACATACCAACTTGTGCAGTAATCATTCACATCATCTGCCACCCTGACAACCTCAAAACTCTGAATATTCGTAAAGCAGGGAAAGGAAGGAAGAGAAAGACTTGACGAAATAAAAATGATGTATGTATTTTCTGCAGTAGTTTCTCAGGTCTGCTGCAACGTCAAGGACAGCACTGAATGATTGCCAGTAAAGCTCTTAGGCATCACTATCAGACTGGTACTTGTCATTACAGTGTGTGCATACATGTGTAATCAAAGGAGAAAATGTGCTGTGTCCGGTGAGAGAACAAAGTGCCTTCCCAATCTTAGCAGGTTTTTCCACATGACAACATTACAGAGATAAAAATGACTTGAGTGCTACTTTCTCGATAGACCAAAGCCGCACTGTCTAGTACACTCGAACCTCATTCCAACAAAGTTGCATCTTACACGAAAATAAGTTTGTTATATCCAAAAATTCCTTATGATTGTTTATTCCTCACACTATATCTATTGCAGGACTATTTTTCACATACTTCGATATAACCGATATTTCGTTATATCCGGTTTCGTTATATTGAAGTTTGAGTTTTGTTTCTTTTTTTCTTCTTTATGGTGTGTTTGGTTGAGAGTTAACAAGTGGTCTGAAAAGTCGCCGCCCGTTAAGTTAGCAAATTCGAGCACTCGAACTACCTTCAGTTGGTTCTTTCCGAGTGTGCAAATCTCGACTTGGAGCGCTCCCAACCCCTCCGTCTTCGTAGTGAGAGTGTGGCGCAATCTGGCCAGAAGGACAGATCACATGACACAGGCAGACAGCGTGAGTGCGCATTTTGGAAGAGGACATCGCCAACCGCAATACTTTGTGCACGTGAGTTGTTCGTGGCATTTCTGAGCGTGTATGTGACAAGTTCACATCTAGGTAGCCATAAATCCACCATGTCAAAAAGGAGGCAATTAGTGAAGACAGAGGAAACGTCAATGCTGTTGTTAGAGCAGCTCGCTGACCAATGCCTTGAAGCTAGTAGCTCGGACAAAGACGACGAGCGTCAGATTTATGCGATGAGCTCAGAAGGCTGTCGCTGCTTGCAGATATGTCAAAGATGGCCACTTAACAGATTCGCATCATTTGTCAATACAGCACAGAAATGTTTACCCAGCGGCTTCCCATGCTGGCTGCACGGTGGCAGTACAGGCATGCTGCTCCAAGATTGCCAATGCATTCGGTTGGTATGCTGCCTCTCGCGCTCTGATGATGATATATGGTGTTTTTTGGCGCAAGGGCCATTTGATGGCCAAAAAGCGCCAGTTCATGAGACAGGAATGTGGACAATGGTTGTGATTAGCGGCTGTATAAGGGCCATAAAATTCCTCGCAGTAAAGCGGGTAAAAACATACAAGTAATAAAATCATGACCATGCCGTGAAAGGTGTGTGTGGTGTGAATAGGTGACAAAAGTTGGTGATAATGAAAAACGATGGTGGACATGTATGGCATTAGAACAAGTACCTCACACGTTAGTACCCTTGCGTGCAAGGGCCGTGAGGCAAGTGCTTTCCTGTGTAGCCACCGCAGCAAAAACCTCTCTAGAGAGGTCGTGCTACGGTATGCCCGGGTATATGATATGAAAATTATGAATTTCCTTTAAAACGCTAATAATGATTTGTGACTAAAAAGCGGTTCCTACCGACGAACATTGCAGGGTGTACAGGTATGTGTTGTCGGTAGGATAGTGGGAAGTGTTGTCTTCTTAGAGTGTCTAAATGTTTACATTGAATTAAAACGTGAAGAACTGTTAATGCCTCACCACATTTATCACACAATGGTGGATCACCACCGGACAAAAGATGTGTGTGTGTCGTGTATATGTGTCCTATCCTGAGTCTTGTTAGTGTTACCTCTGTTAGACGTGATTTTGATACTGCTGACCAATGGCCAAGGTGTGGCTTGATAACGTGTAGTTTGTTTTGTGTGTGTGTATCCCACTTGCTCTGCCAGTAGTCCCTGAGTTTTCGTTTGAGAGACGGCTTAAGATCAAGGGCCGGGATTGATGTCGGTGTAATGGCGGTGCTTTCGTGGGCGGATGCAGCAAGCTGATCCGCCATCACGTTGCCTTGAATCTCACGGTACCCTGGCACCCAGCACACAACAACATGTCTGTTGAGTGTGTAGAGGGTGCATAAAATGGAGTAAAGTGAAACGAGGACAGGGTTTTTTTTGTTTTTTAAGACTATGCAGAGCCGTTACCACACTGAGGGAGTCTGTATAAATTACTGCTTTTTGTATTTGTGATTGTTTGATGTGTTTAGCTGCCACAAGTATCGCGTAAGCTTCCGCTGTGAAGATACTTGTGCCTGGATGTAGAGGGCCAGTATCCGAAAAGGAAGGGCCAACAGCAGCGTAGGACACAGAGGAGTTAGACTTAGAGGCATCTGTAAAAAACTCAGGACGTGTGTATTTGTGTTGAAGTTCCAAGAAGTATGTTCGAATATGGGCAATAGGCGCATGTTTAGTAACTTCTAAAAAAGACACATCGCAATCTATAGTCTGCCACTGCCACGGTGGCGGGTATGCTACAGGAGCCATTAAACTGTGTTCGAGTGACACTCCAGTGTCCTCAGCTAAACCCTTCAGGCGAACTAAGAAGGGCTGCCTAATTGAAGGCCTGTTTTGAAAAAGAATGGAGCTGGACAAGTCATTAATAGTAGAGTATGAGGGGTGCCTCTTGTCTGCTTTCACCTTAAGGAAATATACAAAGGACATGTAGGTTCTGTGCAGATGAAGCGACCACTCATTTGACTCAACGTAAAGGCTTTCTACGGGGCTGGTGCGAAAAGCACCCGTAGAAAGGCGGATGCCCGAATGGTGCACGGGATCCAGCATCTTCAAAGCACTTATAGTCGCTGACTGATAAATAATGGCCCCATAATCTAAGCGGGTGCGAATAAGGCTTCTATACAGGTTCATGAGGCATTTCCTGTCACTACCCCACGTAGTACGTGACAACACTTTTATAACATTCATGGCTTTTAAAAATTTTGTTTTTAAATACTTTATGTGGGGTACGAAGGTCAACTTGTTGTCCAAGATTAAGCCTAAGAATTTATGCTCGGCTTTGACGGACAGTTGTTGCCCATTCAGTTGAATGTCGGGTTCCGAGTGCATGCCTCTCTTTCGAGAGAACAAGACACACGTGCTTTTTTGTCGGTTAAGTCGAAATCCGTTTTCATCTGCCCATTTGGAGATCTTATTTAAACCCAGCTGAACCTGCCGCTCACACATGGCCAAGTTGCATGACTTGAAGCCAAGCTGAACGTCGTCGACATATGTGCAATAGAACATATTGCGGGGAATGGACAAGTGCAAAGAATTCATTTTAATAATAAAAAGTGTGCAACTAAGCACACCACCTTGTGGCACGCCTGTTTCCTGGACAAATGTTTGGGAGAGCACACTGCCCAGACGGACACGGAATGTCCGGTTTGACAGGTCTCTTAGAATTCCGTAACGCCATGTAGTATCATAAGCCTTTTCGATATCGAGGAACACAGAGAGAAAATATTGTTTATGGACGAACGCGTCTCTGATCTGTGCCTCGATACGAACAAGGTGGTCTGTGGTGGATCTACTTTCTCGAAACCCGCACTGAAATGGGTCGAGCAAATTATTTGTTTCAAGAAAATGTACAAGTCGGCAGTTTATCATTTTTTCGAAGACTTTGCACAAGCAGCTTGTAAGTGCAATAGGCCTATAACTCGAAGCTAAAGAAGGGTCCTTGCCCTCTTTCAAAATGGGAATAACAATAGCCTCTTTCCAGGAGGTAGGAATAGTGCCAGAAGACCAAATAGCATTGTACAAACAAAGTAAGGTTTTTCGGGTTTCGTTTGGTAGGTTTTTTAACATTTCATACATCACACGGTCAGAACCTGGGGCAGAAGTACTGCAGGAGTTTAGAGATGTTTGGAGCTCAGCTAGACTGAAAGCTTGGTTATATGCCTCGTATCTAGTGGATTTGTGTTCGAGTTTTTGCTTTTCTATTCTTGTTCTGTATTTTTGGAAAGTGTCAGTATAGTGGCACAAGCTGGATACCTGTTCGAAGTGTGCGCCGAGGAAGTTTGCTTGATCTTCCAAGGTATCACCCTGAGTGTTTACGAGGGGAAGTGTGTGTACTTGTTTTCCTGCTATCCTACCGACCATGTTCCAGACTTTAGCCTCCTGTGTGTATGAATTAACCCCTGATAAAAACTTCTGCCAGCTTTCTCTTCTGGTCTGCCGACGCGTTCTCCTGCCTTGAGACTTCATTTTCTTGAAGGTTTCAAGATTTTCGGCTGTCGGTGAGTTCCGAAGCAGCCTCCAAGCTCTGTTTTGCTGTTTGCGCGCGTTTCGGCATTCAGAGTTCCACCATGGCACACGTCGTTTTCCAGGGTGTCCATTTGTTTGTGGGATGCATTTTGTTGCAGCATCAATCAAAAACGCTGTCAAGTAGTTCACAGCAACATCAATGTTCAAAGTAGAGATGTCATTCCAACCTAAACGAGCGATAGTATAAAACTGTTCCCAGTCGGCTCTGTTTATTAGCCACTTGGGAACACGTGGTGGGCACTCGGTTACTGTAGTTGTGCTCAAAACTACAGGGAAGTGGTCACTTCCGTACAGATTACTGACGACATTCCACTGGAGTAGAGCCACAAGAGATGGAGATGCTATGCTTAGGTCTATGGAGGAGTAGGTGTTATTAGCGAGATTATAATAGGTTGGTTCTTTTCGATTCAGGAGACACGCGCTCGACGATAGAAGGAACTGTTCGATCAGTCGACCTCGCGCGTCATACCGAGAATCACCCCATAGCCTGCTATGCGCATTAAAGTCTCCAAGGAGAACATAAGGCTCCGGAAGTTCATCAATTAGAGAGTGTAAATCACGTTTTTGTAGCTGATAGCTAGGAGGAATGTAAATAGTGCAGATTGTGATCAGTTTATCAAAAGAACTGCTCGAACAGCCACTGCCTCAAGGGATGTTTGGAGTTGTATGTGTGTGCATGCAATTCCTTGATTCACTATGATGGCAACACCTCCGGATGATGTCATGGCATCAACACGGTCCTTTCGGAAAATAACGTATTTACGAAGAAAATTTGTGTGTTTGAATTAAGGTGTGTTTCTTGTACACACAGCACTTTTGGTGAGTGTTCGTGTAAGAGTTCTTGGATGTCGTCAAGGTTTCTGAGAAGGCCCCTGACGTTCCATTGTATAATTTGAGTGTTCATGGTGAATGTAAAATAATGCTGTGTGTACGAAAAGCGAGTGGCTGTTTAGACGGGGAGTTTGAGTTCACTTAACAGGGCCGTCACCAGGCCCTGTTATTTGCTTTTTTGTTTTCTTGGCGCGCTCCAAGGAGCCACGCCGCTCTTTCGGCACCAAGGGTGCCGACGTATCCATTGCCTCCTCGGAGGCACTGGATGCCCGCACGTGCGGGCTGTTAGTTCGGATTTTGGGCCTCGCCTGGTGAGGGGAGGCCTTGAGGCTTGAAGACTCTGGAGTCTCCGGTCTCTCTTCGGGAGTAGGCGGTGTAGCCTGGGCTACAGCCGCCTTGGGGGCAGGTGCCACAACCACCGGCTCGGTATGCGCGGGCCGAAGGAGTGGCGAGGGCTGGTGCGGCGGTGCCCCCTGACGCGCCGCATCAGCGTATGTAGGTCCATAGAATGGAGCGACTCTTCGCCGTGCTTCCTTAAACGTAATGTTCTCCTTCACCTTCAATGTAATTATTTCTTTTTCTTTTTTCCAGTATGTGCAGGAGCGTGAATATGCGGCATGGTTTCCTTCACAGTTTACACAGTGTGGCGGTTGTTTGCAGTTCTCAGACACGTGGCCTAGGACTCCACATTGTGCACAAGTCTGGCGACCACGACAGGTTTTAGAGCCATGGCCATACTTCTGGCATTGAAAGCAACGACGAGGGTTTGGTATATACGGCCTGATAGATGTCTTTGTGTACCCTGTTTGAATGGAATCTGGTAGTTTACTGGATGCAAACGTGAGTATCAAGTGTTTCGTTGGTATTTCCTTATTATCTCTTCTGATGATAATTCTCTGTACATTATTTACATTTTGGCTCTTCCACCCTTCCAAGAGTTCAGTCTCGGTGAGCTCAAGTAAGTCTGCATCAGATACCACTCCGCAAGTGATGTTCATGGATCGGTGTGGTGTTACGGTGATCGGTACGTCACCAAACGTTGAGAGGCTGTTTAGCTTTACGAATTGTGCTTTGTCCCGAATTTCTAGAAGAAGGTCTCCGCTCGCCATTTTGGTTACTTTGTATCCAGCCCCGGCTTGCTTTCCAGTTTTTTCGCAGTGAATGACGTGGAAGTGGGGAAAAGTTTCTATTGGCTGGTTGAAGAGATTTATGTCGTCGGTGCATACCCGCTTTAGGCCGGTACGATCAGGTAGTAGAGGGAATGCGCCATGCATGCCGGTCTTATGTTTGTTCAGCAGCGTTGGCGGCCACCCACCACGGAGCCCAACAAGGGGACGCTGCAAGTTTACAGGTGCTGAAAGCTTGCAGACGTCAGCCGTACAACACTGCCATAACCCAATGCGCCTAGACCAAGGTAGGCTATTTGCACAGGGTTAACCCTTGCCGCCAGGAAAATTGGAAGTAAACAGAAGAGAGTAGAAGACAGGACAGATAGATAGTGAGAGATAAAGACGAAGATATAGGCAGAGAGAGATAGGAAAAGGCGACTGCCGATTTCCCCTGGGTGGGTCAGCCCAGGGGTGCCGTCTACGTGAAGCAGGGGCCAAAGAGGTGTGTTGCCTCTGCCAGGGGGCCTTAAAGGTCCAATCACCCAGCGTCAGCTCAACCCCCAGGATCCCCTTTTCCCCGGACACGGCAAAGCCACGCACGGCTATGCGTGGGAGGGAGTCGAAACTCCCCCGTTAGCTCGGGTCCGTGGTGTCGCTACACACCAAACGCCTACTTGCGCAGGCGCCCCTGCGGGCCCTCTCGCGCTCTGATTGCGAGCTGCCTTGGCATCTGGCGATTCCGCTCCGAGCCAGAGGACCGGAGTGGCCCACCGAATACGCTTTTAGTCAACATGGGATTGTTAGGGCTGACATTTTCCAGTGCAGAAAGTTTGAATTATTGAGCCTATTGTATATAAACACAGTGTACTACTATATCATGCAAATGTAACATTTGAATTCTAACAGAAATTCAGTAAAACCTTGCTAATTCACAATTTAGAAAATCAGAAAGAATATCTCAATTAACCATATATCACATACAAAAAAAGCACATGTAAACTACATACACCAACAACTTTATTATTTACTGAATGAATCCGTGAATCCTATTCTCATTGTGCATGAAAACAGTGCACAAGCCCAAACTTTACGAAATCTTGCGACTTCCTTCAAAATGTGGCTGATGGTGCAAGACAAGTGTCTTTTGCCAAGATGTGCTTTTCACCCCACTCCCTTTCCCCCATGGCTGCTAACAACGCAATTATGTGTGATGACCACGCAGCTCTAATGACATAGTATGACCAACATAAGAGTTACATGCAGTGATAGACCAAACAGGCAAGGAGCAGGCTGGCTTTTCTATAATTACCGTGCAGTTCATATGTTGACTAAGGCGATGTGAACTGTGCCAGGACCAGAAAATGTCTAAATTCTTCAATTTTTCTTAATACTGAAAGTCAAATTAAAAAGCTTTTATTGCGATCTCTAATATGCTAATAGACCCCACAAATATTAAGTACTGCTGCACCGAATATTTCTCGTTGTGCTCTGCCATAGACAAACTATGTTAGCCATTAAGCAGTGCAAAATGCACGGGAAAGAAATGAGAAATGTATAGATGTGAATATGAAAGGCACAATCCTGTTAAGTTTAACCCTTAACACAATAAAAAGCATAAAATATACTAACAATTAGTAGTAAACAATTCGTAGATATTGTCAATGTGAATGGCTGAATCCGGTCCAGAACACTGAATGGTGTGGAGATGACCAGGGTGTTCAAATCACTGAAAAAGGGAAAGCTAGATTAGCACCAAGATATACACCTGTGAAGTAACTCAAGAAAAGAAGACATATAAAAGTCCTTAAGCAGCCTACCTATCAACATTGCGAGTCCCAAGAGCTCCATGACTTAGAATAAGAGTCTCCTTCGGTGTAGGCTGCCCTGGTGCATTCTGGTAAGCCACTAGAAAAACAATAAATACTGTCAGGCACTAGAAAAATTAGCATTTACCAGAATTCACATTGGACCACATAACACATCAATTGCAGCACAGCTTTGCAGGTTCAAGCTCACAAGAAACAAACAATGCCACATTCCGTCAAACAATGCCACATTCAAACAAACAATGCCACATTCCGAATACGACACTGCAAACTATACATTAACTGATGGCAAAAAAAAGCTACAAGTTCCGTAACCAGGAATCGTACCTACGACTCATCGCTCAGCAGTGCACAGCACAAAATGACCCAAAAACGTACGTTTTTTGAAGTAATAATGGCAAGCTAATTACGCTCACACGTCAACATAACGAAACCAGATGTAAAGAAATGTTGGTTATTACGAAATAAATGCAAAAAAAGTTTTGCAATAGATAGTGTTAGGAATACACCTGTATAACAACTTTTCAGATATAACAAACTCAATTTCATGTAAGATGCAACTTTTTATAATGAGGTCTGATTGTATCTACACCATTCACTGTCAGCGGTACTTAAGAGATCGGCAACTTCAGCATGTTTTTGTTATGACCAGCAAAATGGAGTGACAGGCGCAAGGTTGCGCTTTAAAGGTCATAGCTTCACACATTGCTACACTCGAGCCTAGCTATAACGAACCCGAATATATTAAAACATTGGTTATATAATGTAGATACAAGGTCAAAAGTAGTATCAGCGTCGGTACAGAAGCAGCAAGAGCTGGCCGGGTCAGGCAGTCTTAGCTCCTGCCTCGCGCCAACGTGTCCATGCCACTGCAGTAGTGGGCATTCCTCTTCACTACACTTCGTCCCCTGTCGAAAAAGGAGCCATCCTGGTGACTCATGGTGAACAGAGTACGAGCGGATTGTAATAAGGTTTCAATCGCTGTACGTGAACGGTTTCACGACCGCGAAAGTGCTGGTCTGTGGATGGCGTAACGGGTTCGACAATGTAGTTAATAGGTGAAGTCCGCGAGACAATGCGATAGGGTCCCTGGTATTTCAAAACAAACTTCGAGGAAAGGCCTGTAGGCACAGCGGGAACCTAAAGCCAAATAAGAGTGTCCGGAACAAAGTTAGGGTACGGCTGGTTATCGTCACGTCAAGATTTTTGTCTCCATTGGTCGACAGTTGTAAATGACTGGGCGAGCTTACGGCATTCTTCGGCACGGCGGGCAGCTTCAGAGATAGGCGTAGACTCGGAGGAATCTGGGTGGTAGGGTAGAATGGAATCTAGTGTGGTGGGAGGGTCTCGGCCATATAACAGGAAAAATGGCGAAAAGCCCGTAGTTGCCTGTGGAGCAGTGTTATATGCGTACGTCACAAAAGGCAGAATGAGGTCCCAATCGGAGTGGTCTGAGGCAACATACTTTGATATCATGTCCCCTAGGGTACGGTTGAATCTTTCCGTCGATCCATTCCGTCAATCTTTCCGTCAATCGAATGGTAGGCGGTGGTAGTCCAGTGAATGATACGGCATTCGGCAAGGAATGCGTTGACGACTTCAGAGAGGAATACACGTCCTCTGTCGCTGAGGGGTTCACGCGGTGCGCCGTGACGGAGAATAAAGTTTCGCAGGAGAAAAGAAGATACGAAGATACTTGCAGCAGGCAAAGCGGCTGTTTCTGCGTATCGCGTCAAATAGTCGACAGCGACAACAATCCAACAGTTTCTGGAAGTCGTGAATAGAAGAGGCCCGTACAGATCGATCCCAATGCGGTCAAAAGGCCTGGCTGGGCAAGGGATTGGCTCGATCGGAACAGAGGTATGACGAGGCAGAGCTTTCCGTCGTTGGCACTGCGGGCATGACTGAATGTACTTGCGCAAAAAGGTGTACATGCCTCGCCAATAAAACCAGGAGGAAAGCCGAGCGTATGTTATGAAGATGCCCGCATGTGCGCACTGTGGGTCAGCATGGAACGCTGAACATAATGCAGCACGAAGATGGCGAGGTATGACCAGTAACCACTTTCGGCCGACAGACTTGTAATTCCTGCGATAAAGGAGGCCATTGCAAACCTCAAAGTGAGCCGCTTGATGGCACAACGTTCGAGAAGATGGAGAAGTCGACGGATCTGAAAGGAATCGCAGAAGTGAGCTGATCCAGTCATCCTTGCGTTGCTCAGACGCCATGTCAGTTTTCTGGGAATGCAACCATTTCGTCCACGGCAGATAAACATGCAGAGCTTTCGGAGGACACAGGTGAGCGTGATAGGACGTCGGCATCAGTGTGACGTCAGCCAGACCTGTAGACAACACGCATGTCGAACTTTCAACCACAAAGCCCAGCTAGCTAAACGGCCGGAGGGGTCCTTCAACGTGGATAACCAACAACGCGCATGGTGATCGGTGACTACATCGAAGGGGCGACCATATAGGTACGGTCTAAACTTACCTAGAGCCCATATCATTGCCAGACACTCTTCTGTCACAAAATAGTTCTCCGCGTTGGTGAGGGCACGGCTTGCGTATGTGACTATGTACTCCTGGAATCCCGATTTGTGCTGTGTACCTCCGTCGATGGTGTGTACCTCCGTCGGAGCAGTCGGGTCGAAGTGACGCAAGATTGGCGGCGAGGTTAACAGGCGGCAAAACTTTTCGAAAGCATCGTCACAGGCAGGTGACTAAGCGTAACTTTTCGAGTCACTGCGTAGAAGTTCAGTCAAGGGGGCGGTGATCATCGCGAAATTCCGAATAAAGCGGCGGAAATACGAGCAGAGGCCAAGAAAGCTGCACACATCCTTCAGAGACGCAGGTTTAGGGAACTCTGCAACTGCCCGAAGCTTGGCGGTGTCAGGAAGAATACCCTCTTTAGATACAACATGACCGAGGATGGTGAGCTGACTTGCGCCGAAGCGGCATTTCTTCAGGTTGAGCTGAAGGCCGGCATCAGTTAGGCAGCACTTTATCTAGCCTGCAGAGATGCGTCGGAAAATCCGGTGAAAATATAACCACGTCATCCAAGTAGCACAGGCATGTTTTCCACTTCAGGCCACACAAAAGATTGTCTATCATCCGCTCGAATGTTGCGGGTGCGTTGCAAAGAACAAAAGACATGACACAGAATTCGTAAAGACCATCAGGTGTGACAAAGGCCGTCTTAGGCTCATCTTCAGGTGCCAGAGGGACTTGCCAGTAGCCACTCCGTAAGTCAATAGAAGAGAACTCCGCACCTTGGAGGCAGTCAAGGGCATCGTCGATTCTCGGTAACGGGTAAATGTCCTTTTGAGTTATTTTGTTAAGACTACGGTAGTCAACACAGAAGCGAATTGACCCATCCTTCTTCTTAACGAGAGCGACTGGAGATGCCCAGGGACTATTCGAAGGCTGGATGACGCCACGCTTGAGCATGTCAGCTACTTGGTGATCGATAACCTGGCGCTCGGCTGCGGACACACGATAGGGTCTTTGACGCAATGGTGCATTGGTACCCGTGTTGATGCGGTGATACACAGCTGACGTGCGGCCGAGGAGAGTATGCTGGCAGTCGAAGGAAGAACGAAACTTGTTCAGCAGCCGTAGAAGCTGAGCACGTTGCGAAACGGTTAACGTGTCTGCGATGGATCTGCTCAGTACGTCCGGCCTAGTAGTCTGCGGCGAAGAGGCACAGGTCACTCCGGTGACTTCGTGTTCGCCGGAAGGACCAGTCGGCATGTCGATAATTGCAGAAGGGCCAGACTGTAAACACGCCTGACGCACTCACCCCAAAGTAGTGTTACAGGATATGACAAGAGGTTCGAGATGAGCAGTCTGCTGACGCCGTCATGAAGTTCTAGAAGGGCATGAGATAGCGGCGAACACTTGCGAAGAACGAAAAGAGCAGATGACGTGAAAAGGGCACTAGACTCGGCGGCGAGTTGCAAGACACCATGGTAAGGGCAAAAGAGAGCAGCGGTATGATGACGTCTCTAGCAACAAATAGTTTGTTCCCGGTTTCATGAGCATCATATAATGGAGCGTCGTCAAACTCTTCAAATGCCACCTCAGTGCAAGAGCAGTCATGACGGCCTTATTAGCGGAGAGAAAATCCCATCCCAAAATGAGGTCATGGGAGTAGAAATCCAACACTAGCAATTCAACGACATAAATGAGGCCATCAATCGCAATGCGAGCAGTACAGGCAGCGGCCGGTGTGACGTGATCTGCGCTGGCTGTACGAAGTGATATACTTGCTAGTGGCGTCATAACTTTCTTGAGCAAGCGGCAGAGTGTAGCACTTGTCACTGAAACTGCGGCACCAGTGTCGACAAGAGCGAGTGCAGCGACGCCGTCCACATGTACGTCCAGAACATTTGCTGGTGAAGTGAGAGGCCTTGGTCTTTTCGCTGGCGATGCAGTTCCTGCCTCTGGAACTGCGGCAATTAGTTTTCTCGCTCCGGCGATGAAGAACGACGATGCATCGGCGATGGCGAGCGGCGTCGAGGTGATGGCGAGCGGCGGTTAACAGGAGAGCGGTGGTCGGCGTACGATGACGTCTGGTCGGGGATCTGAGAGCCTGTGAACGAAGCGCGGTGGCACATAAAGGGCAGGTTCGAAGGTCTGGTCGTAGCTCTGGCGGTAGACAGGAATGCGCCGACGGCAGTATCGCGCTATGTGGCCAGGTAGCCCACAGGCAAAGCATATTGGACGATTGTCGAGTGTACGCCATTGTCCACTACTCTGGACGGACCTTGGCTGAGCGAACCGAGGAGTGGATCGCAGCGGCACGGCTGTGGGTAGTGACGTAAAAGTCTGAAGAGGTCGTCGAGCCGCCACTTCAGCATAGCTTAAAGGTGCATCTACCTCGGCACAGGCAACAGTGCTCGGAAATGGTGAAGTGTCACGGGTAGATGGCAGAGCCGTGCAAACTTGCTCCTGGATGACCTGGCGAATGTTTGCTGGCAGAGGTGACGGTGGTTGGCCGGCTGATGATAGCAGCGATAGCTGCCGAGCGACCTCAGCACGAACAAACTCCTTGATCTGCGATAGGAGCGACTAAAGGTCAGATGTAGTGGTCAGGCTTGAGAGGGTGTCTTCCGGGACGTTAGGGCGTCGCGTGATAAGACGCTGTCGTCGCAGCTCGTCGAAACTCTGACACAACTCGATGACCTCAGAGACAGTGACAGGGTTCTTCGAGAGTAGCATTTGAAAGGCGTCGTCGGAAATGCCTTCCATGATATGTCGCACCTTGTCAGTTTCTGCCCTCGACGGGTCGACACGCCGGCAGAGGTCGAGGATGTCCTCTATGTAGCAGGTGAATGTCTTGCCAGTTTGTTGGGACCGGCCTCGTAGGCGTTGTTCTGCATGAAGTTTGCGCACACCAGGGCGTCCAAAAAGACCTGCGATCCAGGTTTTGAAGGTCGTCCAAGTGGGGATATCCACCTCATGGTTTCTGTACTACAGCTTGGCAACATCCGTTAAATAAAACATCACGGTGCCAAGCTTTGTGGGATCGTCCCATTTGTTAGTAGCGCTGGCTCGTTCATAAAATTCCAGCCAATCCTCAATGTCTTTCTTGGCGGTGCCGCTGAAGATGTCGGGTTCTTGCAAGAGCTGGGCACCGGGACAGCTCCTGCGTGGCGAAGCCGGTGGGGGTGTGAAGACAGCGTCGTCAGGCATGACGGACGGCAGCTTTCGGCTACGCAGTTCCAGGACTAGGGAAGACCGCAGCACTCTCCACCAAAATACAATGTAAATGCAAGGTCAAAAGCGGTGTCAGCGTCAGTACAGAAGGAGCAAGAGCTAGCCGGGAGTACGGGCAGCGTCGCTGCAGCAACCAGGCAGTCTTAGCTCGTGCCTCGCGCCGTGTCCATGTCACTGCAGTAGTTGGAATTCCTCTTCACTACAGTTATAACAAAGTAAATGAACAATATTCCTGCAATATAGTGCTAAAAGTATACCTTTAAAACAAATTTTGGGATATAACAAACCTATTTTCGTGCAAGATTCAACTTCGTTATAAAAGGGTTTCGGTGTATTTATGCCCACTTATCTCGGGATCAGGGAGGTTTGTTTGTCTTGTGCTGGCACTGAAGTTCCAGAGATGTCAAAAGTCACTTAACTTGTGCATTGGCCATATTCGCGAAAGAAGCGCGCTGCTCAGACACAAAGAAGTAACTCTGACAGTTGTCAGTTCGCTCTCACCCTTGCACTTAGATTTAGGGGCAGGTTAAAGAACCCCAGGTGGTTGAAATTTCCAGACCCTTCCACAATGGCGTCTCTCATAATCATACTGCGGCTTTGGGACGTTAAATACGAGATAAGAGGAGCACACAAGTATAGACAGGACGAGTCACTTCGTGCTCGTCCTGTCTATACTTGTGTGCTCCTCTTATCTGCCCTTCATTGTGTTTGAGCAGCACGCTTTAAGTGCCGAGCTGCGAGAGTTGATAGTTCGCGTTTATCTTGCGTATGTTCTTTTCATGCAACCTTTCTGCTTGAGGAATGAGCCGCAAGTTTTGAGCAGCATGCCAATCTTCGTGTGACATTACATTTGTTTCTGTGACCACTCCTTTTTTTGTGGCAAAACAATGCACAATAAAAGCTCAACAACCTCTATGAAGACACATTTCAATTTTCTATTTCACTGATTACTATGACAGAGAGGTCCGCCATGTATTTTGACACAAGTTGCTCCATTTGTGAAATGTAACTGCACAAATGCTGTTATACTGAAAGCCGTAATACAAAATGAATAAACATTGACAAAAAATATTAAAATAAAACTTACAAGGCTTTTTGATCACGATCCTATGAAAGAAAGAACAAGATATACATTAGTAAGCTTTAAAGTTTACACTTCAGAGGCTGCATAATGAAGCAGACAAATATTTACCCTGACTTTGTCTTCTCCCCGGTAGAAGTCTTGGCCCCAATATTATTTTCTCTGTCATCCTACAAGTGAAACCAATACTTTTCAATTAGTACTGCCGATTAGAAGTTTACAGTAATATGTCAAGTGGAAGTGATGATACATTATCTGGGTTTCACTGAACTGTGGACAGAGCATGTGCTATTATGACTAACAGCTTTGCATTTATTGTTTTTCCACATTCAGGGGAGGAAGCGGGCTTCGGTCTTTTGGAGCAGCTCAGGGAGCCGGAATAATACGGTTTTGGAGCAGTAAGAGGGAGTTATAGAGCACATTTGTAGGGTCACAGACCACTGTTAATTAAAATTTTTGCTTTCTGGTAAACATAAAAAGCTTCAGTGGTTTTTACTAAACACAAATTGCTAACGAAGTGACCAGGCTTACCTACCCCCCCCCCCCCTCGCACACACACGCTCACATATATATACATATTAAGACTAAAAACATCGAAGCTGAAAGCACAACTAAAGGAAAAGAGGTAAGCATCACTTTTGATAGCTACTAGACCTCAGACAAATAAAAAACTGCAATGTTAAAATGTTTCAATGTTCACATTATGATAAAAACACCATGTCTAACATGAACAGCAACTTCAAGACTAGAGATGACCTAAAATAAAAGTTATCTTCATACTAAGCCCAATTAGGCTCTATGAAAGTAAGTGTAAAAAATATATGTTCCAGGAATTGAAGCGCCGCAGCCGACATGAGAACCACTAGGAAATTCAAATGCACCCGCTGCGCTACTGCTAGGCGATGAAGCAGATAATTTTTTGTTACAATAAGAATTATACGGATACTCGATGGGTTGTCGTCGCCGCCATATTCCGCGTATACTACTAGTTGGTAACATTCCCCGCGCATTGTTATTTTATTCCCACGCATATAATCGCACGAGCTGGGGCGACCAGTGCTGCTCAAGAAGCGAATACACGAGGCAGCCAATCTCACTCGCTCAGAGGGTGCACGTAGTAGCTTCCCACCACGTGAAAGACCCGCCGTCGAATGCTCAAGCAGAGAGGAAACATGCCGCCCATCTTGAACGAGCGTGAAAAGACGTGGGGAAAAGGGGAGGGGTCGCTCAAGTAGAAACAATGAACTTTGATGCTGAGGGTGTGGTTGCGATAGCTGGCATGCGTGCTACCTCGGCAAGCATCAGCACACTGCTCATAAACAGTTCACAACGGAAAGAGATTGTGCGATAAGAGCATTTCTCCCTGGGGCGGCCGTACTTATTCTCTTACACTAGCGTTTTGTAGAGTTCCCCAATGTTGGATCCAAAAGAATTAGCTGTCAGCTTTCGTATTGTCACGGGGTCGTGACGTTGATGAAAGCAACAGTCGCAGTTTTCAAGAGTCAACTATTTATTTGGGCGAACCTGTGCACAGAAAACGAAATGTCACTCTACAAGCAATACATGCTCTAGACTGACAGCAGCGAACATTGACCGTTGGCAAAAAATGCCAACAGTCAATTAAAGCAAATTAAAGCCACCGCAAGTGCTTTAATTGTATTTTTCGATAACTTCTAGCCGATTCTCAGCTTTGATTTTTTAATATATTAAAGAGAAGGCTTGGAGGAATACAAAACGCAAGAAAACACAAAATCGACTTTTCCGTAAAAAATCGCGGTTTTTCGACCCGCCTCTTCCCTTAAGCACTGCACTAAACGTTTAGGGAAAGCAGGTATTAAGGCCTCCTTTATGGAATTCAATGAAAATGCAGAAAAATGTTCAACTTGCTGTACAAATTCCAAATATCAATCATTTTTGTAATAAGCCAACTAGTTCCAAAGGTAATTTAAAACTTACTGTTTCTGAGAGCCATAAAACAATGACCAGAACTTTCGAGAATATTGCTTTAGGCCCCTATCTGGATACTACTAGGAAGCGTAAGGATCACAACGGTAAGACCACTTTCTTAGTAGGACAATATTTAAACCACACAGAATTTCAATATTTTCTGCATAAGATTTAGCTAATTCGTGTACACATAAGAAAAAAAATTAATTTGAGCTGAAATGTCAAAGAGTATTCCTACCATTGTGTGCCATTATGTGCACATATACAGGCTTTAACAAAAATGAAAATCTGATAAGTTCAGCTGGCTGAGAAACCAATCCTGAAATATTGCAAGGAAACCGGCATTGCATGTTTTGACAAAATACAAAGAAAAAACAAAGTGTACCACCAAAACCATTGAAATATACATTACAAGATGATCAGTAGCCACCATAGATAAAATCGTTCTGACTAAAACTAGAGCCCACATTGTTCAACAGTACCATAGCACGAGAAGGGCTGAATTTTCACAATTTTTTTTTTATACCAGTCAAAATACGTTTCCCAGTGACAAAAAATGATGCCAGAAAACTAAAAGCCCATCTTGCCACCTTCCTAATAAGAGCAAAACGAGTGCTAGCGATAAAAAAATATGCATTAGAGCATCGGAAAATTCATATTACAGTAAACGCTCGTTAATTCGACACCCGTTAATTCGGAAATTCGGACGGGGCTATTGGTCCCGGCCAAAGTGCATGTTAATCTATGGGACTAAACCTTCGTTATTTCGTCGGAATTCGGCTCCGCACCGCTTAACTCGGACAAATGCTGACGGCTGCTGCTACACAAAAGTGTGATAAAGCAGCGCTGGCACCACTGGAGTGAAACCGAAACCTGAGTGGCATCGCCATCATCATCAACTAGTGGGGGCGATCACAGCGTCACCGAACGTCGGCGTCTTCTTTCTTCTCCACTCAGCGCCTCCGACGCCAATTTTTCCTTGTGTTGTCGTGTCGGAACCATCTCTTCTTGTGGAGTTCTCTTTTTCTTCCATTGTGACCGTATTTGCATGCCACCACCATCGTGCGCTACAGTGATGGCAACGCCGAAAAAGCGGCAGAACTACGACGCGAAGAACTTGGCGACTAAAGTGGAAATTTCGGAAGCATTGAAGAACGGCGAATTGCGACAGCAGGTTATGACCAAGTACAATGTGAGGCGGAGAATGTTGGGAACGTACATAAAAAATGAACAACACATTCGACGAGCCTTCGAAAGCGAGAAGTTTCATGCCTCTAGAAAGCGGTTGCGAACTGCAGCTCATCCCCAGCTCGAAGAAGCTTTGCTCCGGTGGATTACTGACTGTCGCAACGTGCATCTGCCTTTGAGCGGACCTCTCATCATGGCGCAAGGTGAGAAGTACACTGCAATGATGAACATTGAATCGTTCAAAGCGTCAGGCGTCAGAAGGGTGGTTTACGAGCTTTCGAGAGAGACACGAACTTGTCTTCAGGAGTGTGTGCGGCGAAAAGGCCAGTGTTGAGGAAAGCGTGACCACCGAGAGGAGAAACGTGAAGCTGCTGGAGCACATCGCCGCATATGAACCACGTGACGTGTTCAATGCAGATGAAACTGCTCCATTTTTCAGAGCTCTGCCCGACAAGACGGTGACTTTCAAAGGGGATGCGTGCATTGGTGGCAAGAAGCGCAAGCAAAGGATAACTGTGCTTCTTGCCGCCAATATGACTGGCACGGAGCGCTTGCCACTACTTGTCGGGAAGGCCCTTAAGCCACGTTGTTTTAAGAACGTCAAAAGCCTTCCTGTAGAGTACACATAAAACAGGAAGGCATGGATGACATCGGACATTTTTGGCGGCTGGCTGCAGCAGTTGGACTGGCACTTCACGTCGAAGGACCGCAAGATAATTATGGTTGTTGACAACTGCAGTGCCCATAACTGTACAGTCGAACTGAAGAGCATCAAAGTAGTTTTTTTGCTGCCCAACACTACGTCTGCTCTTCAGCCGATGGACCAGGGTATCATTCACTACGTGAAGTCGAAGTACCGCAAGCACCTGCTAGAGCAAATGATTCTATGCTCAGAAGCTGGAAAGCTGTATCAAGTGGACTTACTCGGCGCAGTGCACATCATCGCCCACGTGTGGAAAAACACTCCGCCGCAAGTCATCGCCAACTGTTTTCGGCACAGCAGTTTTGTGAGGCCCGAGCATGCAGCAGTAGCTGACGATCGCATCGAGGAGGTGTCAGCCGAGTCCACCGACGACGACTGCCCGACTTTCGATGCTGTCCTTCCCACAGATGTGACCTTGCAGGACTACATCGCGATTGATCATGGTGTCGCCACGAGTGGTCTCCTGACCGATCAAGAGATTATTAATGATGTCACGGGCGCCCATGAAGACCACGATTCCGATGAAGAATCATGCGAGGAGATACAGCCGCGACCTCATCGCACCTCACGGGAAGTCTCGGAGGCGCTGTTAATATTAGAGGACTCTTGCCTGAACACTCCCGACAGCTTGCTTGCTGTTGGCCATTTGGAACAGTTAAGAAAAATTGTGATGTCAGCCAGAATCTGCGCGAAAACGCAGACGACAATTACAAAATACTTCAACAAATAAAGGTATGCTTCTGCAGCTTGATTTTAAATGTTGTTTTCCCTGTTCATTCGTTAATTCGGCATTCGGTTAATTTGGACAGTTTTTCCGGTCCCGTGAAATCCAAATTAGCGAGCTTTTACTGTAGTTCATAAACATTCGATATTCAAAACCCCCTCCCACGTACAGTAAACCCGCAATAAATGTAACCTGAAGGGACTGGGAAAATATGTTCCATTTAACAGAAGTTCCGTTTACCGAAAGGTGAACATGAGTGCAGAATACAAGCCCGAAACCAAGCATCACAGAGGTAATAGTTCCACTTAAGCAGTAGTTAAGTTTAAGGGGGGACGTGGCAAGTAAAACTGATTTTTTTATTAATGTACTGTTTGTGATGAAATTTGGTGTGTATGTGGATGATTGTGAGGATTCCAAATATGAAAACCGTTTTCAAATACCTTTTGTACTTTTTGAGTTACAAGCATAATTATACTAATTAATGCTCTTCACACTTAAAGAGATAATTATTGCTAAATGAAATTATTTTTTCATATTATTATGTTCCCAAAGCATCAACTTGTGCAAAGAAGCTATTAGTTGATTTTTCTAGTTCTTGTAACCATAAATAAAATTTCCAAAACATGGATGTTGTTTTGCGCACACATCGCAGTAATTATAAAATGTGTTCTAAAATTTTAAATGATGAGTAAGAAGAGAGATAAAGCTTTATTGCACTGCTAAAGGCCTCCTGAGCCTAGTGCAAAAAACGGAACGACTCTATCAGTCTTTGTTAGAAAATGACAGATGTTCTAGCGAAGGCACATAGGCGAAAATCAAGAGTTGAGAAAACTGACTTTGAAAGTTCACTCTTGTTTGGAAGTTCACAACATGCCTAAAACACTCAGAATCCTCCTGGGCAGTAATCCTGAGATGCTGTGGCCTTGGCCTCTGTAGAGCGCAACCCAGTTTTGCACTTCTTTGTCGTGGAACAATGCGCCTTTTGAGCCCTCTTTACCCTTTTGGCATCCTTTTCGGCTGCTCGCCGCAAAGAGCAGTCTCCTGGATTGAAGCCCAGTTGAGCAGTGATCTCTTGCAGCGCACTCTTGCAGCCACCATTGAAACGGCAGACTGCATCTGCAACTGCACTTTCCACACTTCGAAGGGACGCGAACTGGCTCTTGGACTGGAGTGACCAAATGAGGCTGTTCATACTCTCCACAGCGTTCTGGGTTTTTCCCTGCGCACACCTTTCAAGGAGCTCTTTGTTCGAGAGGCGCTTGTAGATTGGCAGCAGTGCCACTTGCACGTGAGGGGGCAGTTTATGTTTGTGAGGCGGCAGCGGCTCTCCTTTGGCCAATGCCTGATTGTGCGGGCACCAGGAGTCAGTCCCACTTGGGCACAGGTCGTGGTGTGGATCCTGGTCTGTGGATGTTACATGGTAATAAGTGGCCATGATGGCCCTCTCCATGCCAGGAACATCATTGGGGTGGCTCTTAATGGCCCAGCCATAATAATTCGTCAACTTCTTTATCAGGCCCTGCGTCAGCCGGCCTTTGCCACCCATGCTCAGTCCTCGGCCTTTGGATTTGTGCTCATCAAGAAGGTTGCGCAAGGAAGTGCCCATTCTTTTTTTCACATGGTTCACACACTCCTGTTTCTTAATCACCATGTAGCCATACACCTTGTCTTGCGTGAGGGCAAGGTACGTACGGCTGTCACCGTCGCAGAGCACATTGATGTATCGAAGCTTGTACTTGGTAAACGATCTTTCAAACATGATCCTAGCTGCTTCTACTTCCATTTGGCCTGCATTAGCATCGGTGTTCTTTTGGCACTGTGGCTTGTGTTTCTCAAGCCACTCCTCATAGTTGTCGTCACCTGGCTTGGGGCCAACAGCACAGCCTTGGCAGTAGTTGGACAGGACACAGTGGTCCAAGACCAAGCCTGTGTACAGCTCGATTACACAGCCCACGCCAATATGACTTCTGTGCCCCCTCGTCATCCACGTGCCGTCGTAAATGACGTCAATGTTGCCTGGCACTCCTCCTAGGTCCTTGTAAATGTCATGCACCTTCTGTGCACTTTCTGCTTCAATGCGGGTGGCAGCTGATGTGGTGGCAGGGTGGCTGTACTTCCTTTGCAGTCTCTGGTAGGACTTGTGGTGCAGTGCTCGATGCGAAATGTCCATCGCAGAAAAAATGTCATTTATGGCAGATTGTTTTCTGCCAACTGACTGCACAGCCCTCAAAGCACGCACGTTTACCTCAAAGGGGTTCGTTTTTTGTTGCCCGGAGCACCTCGGGGATGACTACGCACTGTTCACTATGCCACAATTGTCACAAAAAAGTCCCATCCTCGCCGCGAGTCCAAGGCAGTGCGTAGTCTCGAGGCGTATCGACCCTTCGTCGCACTTGTTGCACTTTACTGACGAAAGCAGACCGTTCAGCATCTTCTTATTTACAATGAAGAATGTGGAGTCCTTACCGCCGTCATTTTCGTCGCAGCCTTCGTCAGAAGCTCGAGCTTCCGCTTTGAAGCGGACTTCGATGCTACGGCATCCAAAACATCCCGCCTTGTCTGCGCCCGCTGCGCGATTTCTTCACTGCTCGGAATCTGGGCCGAAACTCGCGATAGAATGTTCGACGCGCGCACGCCCGGAGTTGCAACGGCTGCCGACGCGGTGCCACCGCAATCGGTGTTCGCGGAGAGCGTCCATCACGGTCGACGGCATCCGGCGGTCTGACATACGACGATGTGGCACCTTCCACACTCTCGGCCTCACAACAATCAGCGAAGGGTCTGAGTAGAGGCTCCGTGACGCTTGAAGAGCATGCTCCGTCCGGAACTGCGACTGGGACGGCAGCCGCAGTCGTCTGCCCTTTGTTCCAAGCTTTCCGACGCTTGCCGTACTTGTGGACGCTCCGGAACTTTTTTTGCGACAACATAGCACCGCAGTATGAGCAAGCACTCAGAAGAGACCACCGATGTAAACAAAGCTTGGTAAAAAAAAAGCGGCGGCCGCAGATGCGCTCGCGCTTCCAAGGTTGCCAAGGTGCGCGGCGCAGCTTTGACCAGTAAGAGGTCGCGCCTGCTACCACGTGACCCGCGCAGCCAATTGCCGTTCTTCGTTTTTGTTTTTTTACTTGCTCCTCGCGCTTTTATTTTCACTCGGCGAAATACGAGACCGCGACCATCGGGAAGCCGGCTTTCTCCTCTTTCCAAAGCTACCAAAATGGCGGCCCACAGTCAACAACTTAGCGCGTTTGTGCGGCGTGAACAACACCGTTTCAGGGGCTTTTTTTTCGCACTTTTCGGCGACTAGCCTCGGCAAAAACACTATTTGCGGGATTTGTAGCGCACGTTTCGCTGTAATATTTTAGAACAAGGAAGTTGAAGGTCTGAAGATTACGAAAAAAAATAAATCAGAAAATCGCATATTTTGACCAAAATCGGCACTTTACTTGCCGCGCCCCCCCTTAACAGATTTCCATTTACTGACAGTCAACTGTACTTCCTTACTTTTCTGAACTTCATATTTGACTTGATTAGAAAATTTTACAATTTTCACACTTCTAAGTCCAACAAATGTAACAGCTGATGAAATCCAACATCCCCTCCCAGGCAACACTTGGGCTCTGAGAGATGGCATACTTCAGGGTTTGAAATTATCGTGGCAAAAGTGCATGTGTATGAAAACACACATGCATTTTTGCAATCTACTGTTGATGTCAAAAAAAGAGACAAAATGAAAGATGGCAGCCACGCCTCAAGCCTTGTGCCAAGTGGCATAATACCTTAGCTACTTGGCTGTCTCTCTAGGCAATGCAAAAAAAGACAAGATTGAGCAAGTCATTAGGATGTAAATGGCACCATAATTGTACATTACCCACGTGTACAAAATGCAATATGAATGTCTGTTCAGCACATGTACACATGCTGTTAGAAAAATATAGCACATTGGACAAGCCTTAACACACCTTTTTTATCCTCTGCTTCCTGAACCAGGTAGCCTTGTACCAATCCAGTTTTTTCCCTTTGTATCGGATCTAGAAAGGAAAGAAGAAAAAAATAGACAGAGCTCAGACAACATGAACAAGAAAGTAAAGAGATTCTCTGGCCTTTTTTAAACACCTGAATCGAAACGAATATACTGACATTTTGACCAAAGTTACTTTAAAAGAATATTCACACTGTCTTGTGGTGCTTATCTAAAAGCTATTACATAGAGTGCACAGGGCTACCCACTCTAAGCGATTCACTTAAGGATCTTCCAACTTGCCACAGCAGAGATTTTGCTTACACTTTGGAGGATGAAAGTAGCCATCTAGAGGACATTTTTTACAGGAATAATTTAACAGATCACTTTACTATCGGTGGAATTTAAAGTGGTATGGTCCTGCGCTATGGTTAGTGGTATTTAAAGCGGGGCACTAAAATTTCTGCCTGTGACTTATGCTCTCCACTTGAAGCAAGGCTTTCTCAAAAAGGAAGGGCATGTCGATTTATGTTTACATTGTCGACTGCATTTACACCATGCAGCTGTTTCATACATCCCACCCCACCTCCTTCAAAATTAGCAGTATACTAAACTTATCAGGGAGATTCAATTCAGGGAGATGACCTGGACAGTGAACCATACACTCCTCATAGTAAGAAGAAAAAAAAAAAAATGCCTCCCAGAAGATGTGAAACCAATAAAATCGCCATCATAACAATCAAGAGCCAAACAATGCCATCTTGTCAAACAGCTTGAGTGCTTACACATGGTGCACAGCTATTGTTGAAATCACTCATGAAGAAACCGACACCTTATCAATGCTTAAAAGTGAGTACAAAGAAATGGTGCTGACATGAAAGATCAGCGAGTTCATGATGCAAGCATAAAATAGGCCGCACCAAAAAGTGCTTCTTGAGTCGACAATACTATATTCCTTTGTTTTTTTTTCTCAGGTTGAACATGAGAAAGCTTCCTTTTGGAGCTTCAGCAGGCTCTTGATATTTCAAACTCAAGGAAACCCCTGTATTTTGTTTGAAATATCAGAAAGTCTTATAAATGTGGACTGGAGTAACATACCAACTTGTGCTGCAGCAATGTCACAGTTAGCTGTGAACAATTTTCAGTAATATTTATATATGGCAGCAATCATGTAAGTACTAGTTAATATATGACACATGTACATATGTGTAATTAAAAAACAAAATGAGCTGTCTGCAGAGGTAACCGATAGCCCCTTCTCAATCGTTGTATGCTTTTCCACGTGGCACCATTGTACCGCAGCAAAAGTGACTGAAGAGCACCGCATGCAATTGATTAAGGCCAAACCTTCTCTGGTATTTTTTTTTTCTTTTTTTCTCAGCATCAAAACTGCAAAGTAAGAATGTTTTTTCAAAGAATACTATTATTATTATGTGGCCTAAACGTTTTAGACCTACAGCTACAACAGTTTTTTTTTTGCAGGATCTCATCAAAATCCCAGTTTCGCGAAATTCGAAATAAGCGGTAACAGCTCAAGAGACACTGGTGAATTTGTAAAGACGACAGTCTTTCTTGGGGTCCTTCAACGCAAAAATTTTGGTCTGCCTGTGCATTTGTCTGTTTGTCCACTCTTAACGGCATTGGGTACTTGAAACGACCGACCCCATTTGCAACGCCCACCTATGTTGCTCAAGGTTAAGCATTCATGCTTGTGCAATTCTCAACTAAAAAGCAATTATTACACATGTCTGGGGCACCATAACAACAGGTATATATTCTGCATGTGAGCCTCTTACTAGAAAAGGCATACATAAGTAATTTTAAGGACAGTAGCGCTCATCACGTTGCGCTGACCATAGAACGCTTGCATGGAAAGACGAGTGTTTTCAACGCTTTGCTAAAACGAAACGGTGGTGGCACCTACCCATCGCCTTGCGTTCTACACCTTATCACCTCTGAAATGTCTGTGCACACTCGTCTCAGAGCAACGTGCTTTGTTTTCTAAGACAACTGCCAGATGGCGCTTATGTCTCGCGTGTGACGTGACTTGATGCGTTCGTTCGCCTCTGCTGCACGCTCGAGGCACTCCAACGCAGGGCCTACAGAATACCATTTACCGATTTTCTTGCGCAGAACATCAAATAAATGTCTTGTTCACTCTCTCCACACGCAAGACTACAGTCTTTCGACAACATTTGCAGATTACATGCAGATACAAGGCCAATTTTTTTTTAAGGTAATTTTTTTGAGGGGAAACCAAAAGTGGTTTAGTGGTCCTGGAAACTCATAAAAATTTTTTTTTTTTTTCTGGCGAAATTATAGGGCGCCGACGGACAGGCACCAATGTTCTTATCTAACACAGCCAACTGAAACAACATCACGCGATTCAAAAACCTGTTTTACTATTATATCGAATGCAGGAGTAGTGATGGCTTTCTATTGAAATAAACTCACCCTGCTCAAGAATCCAAATGTTAAAATACAGAATTTTGTTAAAAAGAAACTGAATACAAATATTTAGTAAATATAGGAGCTTAAGGGGGGATGCGGCACCCAAAGACGAAAATGGGCCCAAAAATCGCATTTTCTCTCTCATCATTTTCCCGTTCTCGATGCCCTACTGCACCTATCACAGAATTCGTACAGGTTTCCAAAGCGAAAATTCAAGGATATTCAAGGACTTTCCAGAACCAGTTGAAAGTTTTTCAAGGACTCAAAGCAGCATGCGAAGTTGAAATTTTTTATTCTAAAATTTTCAGAAATGACCAATTTTATTGCACTTACAATATATAGATATCACATTTATAAAAAAAAGAGCGTAGCCTATATAACTTCTGGCATGCTCTCCATAGGGAAAGGGCACGATGTCATGTCGGAAAGTTACGCGCTGATGGGCTTCAACGCACATGTGTAGTCAGGCCTTAAAGGGGTCGTGCCACAATATTTGTGGCTTGCGCGCTCTTTGCTGCAAGCTTTAATTATAGCTCCAATAAGCACGATACATGTACCAAGATTCATTTATTGTTGCTATATAACTTGTTGCCTTTTTGATATGGGCAATTTTCACTTCATGTTTGTGGGGACCAAGTTGTGCAGCTTAGTAGCGCGATTGATATGTGGGGTTTAACGTCCCAAAACTACCATATGATTATAAAAGATGCCGTAGTGGAGGGCTCCGGAAATTGTGAACCCAAATCTGAGCACACGGGTGCACTTCAACTTACCTGCCCAAACAGAACGTCTCACAACACTGCTACCCTGCACAAAGTTGCCAGGCTTTACTGTGCGGCTGCCGACCCTAGTAGTAGAATGACAGCAGTGAAAGCCACAGCAACAGCAGCAATTCAACGATTTCTTGCCATTCCCTCAGAGAGGGCAGACATAATTGGTGCAACTGGGCCCCAATAGATGGCACGACCTGTCCAGTTCAACCATAATAAAATTGAACTTTTAAACCACTCGTGCCATTCCCCATAGTAACGTCCGGCGGTTATGTTTTCCACGAATCAAACAGAAACGAACAAGCAGCATTTTATTAAGTCTCCTGATGCACAGAAAGTTCTTTATTTCATGCCGCTAGTTCGACTACTAGTGATTATTTGTAGGCGGTTTGTCTGACGTCATCGGGACCATTTTGAGGATGGTCTACTGTGGCGCATGTATTCTTGTGCATCCTTCATTTCTTGATAAGTATGGCACTGCTGTTGATAATAAATATTGTCGTTTTAGACGTTGCCATACATTTAGCTTTCACTTTGACGTAAACGTTACTTGACTTTATTGTCCCTTTAAGGAACAAAATGTGTGTGTTTCGCGACTAGTGCTACCAGCTTCTTCTAACTTTAATACGCTTCTCCACAGGGCACCAGTGTAGTGCGGCAAAGGTGGCTTAAGCAGCATTCTGCACAAGATAGAACAAGGCCAAGAAATTTTGAAACTGCTATTTTCTTCCCTCCTCACCCCCACTTTTCTCTCAAGATGGTTTAGGTTTAGGACACAACTTCTTGGCTCATTTGCAAAGTGCGTTCAACCTGATGAAGTTACAACGGCCCGCGTCTGTTGGTACGGCGACAGCACCATATACGTATCTATCGACGAGATGATGCAACTTTAAGACAGAAAAATGTATGTGCCTTTGCTATTGCATCCAATGTGGACGGCATATTGCAGCATGTCAATTTTGTTCACTTGTAGCAAATGCTTCTAGCTTTAACTGTAACATGCCATAGTCACATTTGAGGACTAGAAAATTCATATTTCCTGTGAAGTGTTGGTGGCTACAGCAATGCACTTTTGACCAGGAGTCTCATAGTCCCACCACTAGATATGCACTGCAGTCAGTGGACCGATGGTCGTTCGGCGTTACTTCACCTTGTTGATTGCGCCTCGCGAGTGTCCTCACCTAAATAGGATGTATCTCACACCATCGTTTAAGGTTAAAGTTGCGTTGGTTGATGATGTCTAAACTGTAGATGGCCAATGTGGTCTTTACCTCTCACTGAAATTAGTGCAACAAATAAAACTTTGAGGCTGGTCAGGCATTTTGGTGCATCGTGTTGCAATTTCAGCTAATTTCATGGTTTTGGCTCAGCTCGGCGTGAAAATAGGGAAATATATCAATTGGCGCAGCTGTTGCACCCATGCTAATGATTAAGATGGGTTCTGCAACAATACAGCATAACTATCGCAGCAGACACAAATACCCATAAAACATTAATGAACACTATAACATGGAACCAGTAAGACTGTTCCGTGTTGGGAGGCATAGACCTTACCGTGGACCAGCCACAACCGGACTTCTTGTCTGGATTCAACAACTTTTTGCAATGCACTGCCCACGAGCTAGGTGAAGAGTACACTTCTTGAGTTTCACGCCACTTGATCTTTCCGTCCTTCAGTAAATCACCAGTGAATCTTGAACCCTGTAGACAATAAATGTCACATAACATGATAAGAATGCTGACGGTGAGCATAGCTTGTCAAGGCAAACATACTTCCATACATGATAGCTGATGTGGAACATGCTGATGGCACAGGCTAACATAGGGTTTACATTGATCTTAGTCACCTCCGCCTTAGGGTACACGCTGGTTGAGATGCTGAGTGAACTCTTGCTCCTATGGCAAGGAACGACACCACAATAGTGCTTTGTGTTCTCCCTCGGCATGGTTGGAGAACAGAAGCAAAAAAAGAACAAAAGAATGCAGGGAATGAAAGACTGAGAGTCCTCCTCTGCACTGACACCTTCTAAGGAGATAAAAAGTCGCGGCTGCCACCATCTTGGGGGGCCCTGTACAGAGAACCTGCCTGGACGTCGCGTGAAAGTTTACTGCCAGAGCAGAATTTTTCTAGTTACTGGGATGTCAGGAGGCTTTGTGCGTGAGAACATGCTTTTGCATTTCACTTCTATCAAAATGCATCTGCTATTGCCAGACTACGGCTTAGTTAAAATAGCAGGTAGACTGTACTGATTTTTTTTCCATGCCTCACCAAGAGGGTATCGATAGCCCGCTATCAATGGTATGAATCGCCCCTTTTCATTAATTGACATATTCAAGACATGCCGCATGATTCACAGACACACTCTACCACCTGTGTTAACGAGAACTGTAGTGTTCTTTTTTATTTACCGCATTTATTCGAATGTAGGCTGATAGTTTCTTTCAAATTTGTTTACATCAAACTCCAGGGTCGGCTTAGATTCGCGGATTTTGAAAAACGTGCCATGTTCAAATGAAAAAAGTGGTGCACAACTAGTGCCACCAAAACGGTATTGTAGCTGTTAGTAGCCGAGCCAATACCTGGCTTAAGTACATATGCAAAGACGCCATTTTCATCTTTGTGGCAAGTTTCGAGGCGAGCAGTTTGCCATTTCGAATCGCGCTTCTGGTGGTCTATGTGTGGTGTACCTCAATGGCGCTGAACAAGCGGTGTCTTTATAGTGCCGCTTATAAAAGGGAAGTTGTCCTAGCCATGGAGTCATCATCCATCGTTAAAAGTGAGCAGGACTTTGGAGTGGACATAAAAATTTGCGTCGCTGAAGGGGCTGCAGGGTGGGACGATATCGCAGGAACTTCGATTGTGCACTCTTTTAAGAAGTTCAGCATATCCAATGCGCTTGATAGCCCCAAGCATTGCGCACTGTTTGAAGACAGCAACAAGTGAAGCAACGACAGTGACTCGGAATGAGCACACCATCTTTATGATACAAGATAAGTAGAAGCAGCGTGAAAAAAAAATGATAAAGAAACACGCACAACAGCATTAATGGCTGTATGTTTCTCGAGCTATTTGCATCATGAACTAACTGCTTTGTTTCATCTTCATGTTTAATAATTGTTTTCTCTTTGTGAACGCTGTCTTCGCTATTCCGATCGACCAACGTTCTAGGTAACTTTTTTTTTTTTTTTTGGGCTCCAGACTTTTGGGGTCGGCTCAGAATCGAGGTCCACCTAGATTCGAGTAAATACGGTAGTTATTTTCCTTGTGTGGCTTTCATTCCTGAATGCACTCTGAAGTCAAGTGATCAATTTCAAGCAAGTGAAAAAGGGTACTGCAGAATGTGGTGCAAGTGCTCAGCCTTCGAAAGACCACAGATGTAAGCATTTTGTTGTTTGTGGCTTAGTTTATAGATTTAAAGAGCAGCAGCGAGACTGAAGAAGCTGCTTTTTGGTGAGACATTGACTCGAAAGCAACAACAATGTGAACGAGCCCAGAACATCAAAGCTTCACTTTGCCTCTGGCCGTATCGATTTGCATTTCAGCACCATTCTGTCAGAATGAAAAGGTATAGAAAAAGCAAGATATGCAAATGCTACCAGAAAAACCACACAGAAAACAAAAGTTCACTACAAAACATGTAAAATCACACTATGCTTTATATTGAGAAATTTCTTTGCCACATGGCATGTCTAATTGCAGTGCTTACTGTGAGATTTTTGTCGGGAAAGTCCTGTTCAATTTAACCAATTGAATTTTTCCAGAGATGGTGCCTCTTAAATGGCAGTACATTTTGCACATCTCATAATTACCGTTATATTTTTTATTAGTAGATAGAAGTGTATCTTTACGAACTTTGAAAACAAATTTTGTCTCACAATCCCAAATCTGGTAACTTATATTACATAATATACCACCTCGTTAAAGAAACTTACTTGGGTGAAAAGTTTATCTGTTCTGCTTTCCTTTGCTGCATTACATAAAATATCAAGTGCAGTAGTTCTTTCAGCAAAAAGTATGTAATGTAACTTATCAAAAACACTTATTTTCCCCACAGAAAGAAAAGAGCTAAGTGATGCTATGATGGCAGACAAAACAGAGCTTAATGTCACTACATGCTGAAGTTTCACTTACAAGATAGTCAATTGACAGAACGTTTTCTCCATGCTGAAGGATGCCTTGAGACATCAGCATACTCAATGTAACGCTCCGGCCAGCACCACGACGTTTGGACAACCCGCCCTCTTCATCTTCTTCCTCTCCTGACTGCTCACCAGCATCCAGGTCTTCATCCTCAATTTTCGTTGACATTGCCTGTTACATACAGAATAGCACATCTTCAAAGAATACTGAGAAAAATTTAAATTTTACTTTTTTTTATTACAATGAGTATCTAACAAGCCCCTTATCACAGCTGGAAACATTAAGGGCCCAAACATGCGATGGCTAATTTTTTGGAGGTGGTTTTTAGCACCTGGTCACATTTTCCCTTTCAAAGAGCGCAGAGTGAGGGACCCAGAATGGCTTTTGTGTAAACATAGCAGGCTATGTATGCACACAAAACTGTGTTCTCATAAGCCCCATGCGGACAGCTCTTCTCAGCGAAAGCATCCTGAATGCTGTTATAATCTCATTTGGGATGTCGCAAATATGTACTGTAGAGGCAAGGATGTCAGGTTTTGTACTCTCTTGCAGGTCTGCCCCCTCTATCCGTTGAAAAGGTCAGCTAAGAGAGATCGCTCGCAAGGATCACAGTAGCCGACACAAACTAATTGTTTAGGTAGTGGTTGGTTCTTTACATACAAACCAAAGGCCTGTTTAATGTGCAGTGGTGCAACACTTTGAAATTGATTTTAAGTATTTTTTAGGCTACAATATTTGCTGATATATTGATTTATTTTTACATACTGCAGCCTTGAAGGGCTATTGTAGAAGCAGAAGCAAAACGCAAAAAGTACAGTACAACACAAGTGTACAGCGCATGAAGATCACCAGTTATTAAAGGGGTTATAAAACACATTCCCAAGATTTTCAACTACATATGTATCGAGAATCATGGCTGTCCATTCAATACTATACCTCAACTTGTTTCCCCATCCTGCTTCATTTAATAGCTATAAAAGAACATTTTGATTCGCCGTTCATGCTCCCCTCAAGTGTACACCTGACACCACTTTAATTCAGGCACTGAAAAGTCTCTGTCGTCAACAAAACATCGTGACACAGCGATGTTTGCTGAGCCATAGTTGACCAAGGCTTCTAGCACTACACCATTTTGATTGTGGTGTCGTAAAGTCATCACTAACGTTGTTTTAACTTTGATAAGTTTTGCAGAACTGCCTGATGACGTATGCACTATGCCTAGCGAGGATTAAGCCACCCAATACAGGCAGTAAAACGCAACCTAATGGAACCAATAAGAAAACACCGAGACAGTGCGCTGAGAAGGCAAAGGCAACATGTGACAGAGCCCAGATGTATTTGAAAACGGAACCAATAAGATAACTTGTTATGCTTGCACAGTATACACACCTCAGAGTGCAAAAACTTTTTTTCTTTCCCAAGTTTCTATGAATCTATCATTTTCGAGCAAAAGAAAAGTAACGCTCTGTTTATAACTTCTCTTACCATGACATTTCACTGATGCCACATGTTAGTGCCTATGGTGGCCGGTAGGGCCAAATGGCCGTTTAGGCACCTAGGAAGACAGGAATTCCATACGGGCGTCATTAATTATAGGGTGGATATCGTGGCAAAATATTTCAAAATTGGAATGTCTAATCCTTATTGAACCAGAGAATGGTACAATCGGGTAGCTTCCTTCTCATTTCACGGTCCCTTTCAAGGGGCCCTGAAACACCGTTTCAAGTAGCCATAGAATGAATTCACTGGAAGAGCGTATTGCCTCACGAATTCAACGCCACAAAAATTTTATTTATTATTACTATTATTATTTATTATATGTGGGGTTTAACGTCCCAAAAACACCATATGATTATGAGAGATGCCGTAGTGGAGGGCTCCGGAAATTTCGACCACCTGAGGTTCTTTAACGTGCACCCAAATCTGAGCACACGGGCCTTCAATCTGAGCACACGGGCCTTCAACATTTCCGCCTTCATCGGAAATGCAGCCGCCACAGCCGGGATTGCCACAAAAATTTTAAGAATCCGTCCAGTGCGAGTGGAGATACAAAGATTTGTCACATTTTGCAATTGAAGTCTCTCTTCTCTCGTCTCGAAAAAAACCCTGGAAGCTAAGCAGGGAGAAATGGCTGGGCCACAGAGAAACATCACACACGCTTTGCGACCTTAAGCACTTTGTTTTTCCATTTTTTTTCTTCGATTGCGCGGCTTTTTAGTGTGATCGCACTCGCACGCGTGGACAAGTAGCAGCCTGCCGCGGCGATCTCTGTAACGAGTGAGCGCACCATGTTCAAATCAGCCGATGGCTCATAGATGGGTCGTTGACATCTGATTATTGGGCATATAACGTGATTTGTCGAGAGAAGAAAAAGCAATTTTTAGCTGACTGATAATTCATTGTGAATTCCAGGCCGCGTACTGTGCTATAACATTTGGCACGCGTGTTGTCGGGAGTCTATACTACCGATAGGCAGCGTTTTCTGACCATGCGCAAAAAGTGTTGCAGGGCCCCTTTAACGTAAAAAAATGAACTCATCATGTGGTATAGCTGTGCAAAGCATTTCACATTTCAACAGTGCTGACAAAAACAAAAACTATAAACATTTGTTTGGGGATTAAAAGGAGTCATGTTTAACTCATGATGATCTCAGGTGGATGTTGGTTTAGCAGAGTTAATGTAGTTCCTGAGTAAAAGAAACCGTAGACAGTGAAAGACAGTGTAAAAACAACTTCAATGTGACAACAAAAAGATTCAATGTGACAATGAGAAGCGAGAATGTTAAGCTGAAGACTACAAAGATGAGACTAGGTGAAAAATAGCTGTGGTGCCGACAATACAGAAAGCGTACAGCTTTCTTCCGAGTCCTCAGCAATCTATCTCACAAGTTATCTCGCCTTTAAAACTATGTGTCAGTTCTCTCTTAAGTGAAAAAATAGACAACTAGCACATCTAAAGTGTTAATGATCAAAGCCTAAAACGACTTGAAAGCCTGAAACAATTTTGTACACACACATTGAGCAAGTAAAGAAAGTCCCAAGGATCATTTGCGAACCAATTTGAACTCTGTGCATCATCTGTGAAACTTATTCCAAGCCTTTAAGCACCCGCATCGCTGCAGGTCGCAGCAGCTCAGCCAAACAAGTTTTCAACTTCCAGTATCCTCCTTACATGGCACCAATGACCGTTCTAATTGACAAGGTCCAGTCTACGTCAATGAACCATCAACCTGCAGCAACCATCATCTACCTGTGCGGCTATATGCTCTGTGTTGATGTAAGCTGCATGACAGTGTTCATCTCTAAGTTTCTTTTCTCAGACACCATGAATTACCCTAGCAGAGTTGTACGCAGCAAATTTAGTGATTGGCAACTTGTAGAGCTGCGAGATGGTGTAAGGTTTGTAAGGCATCTGGCGAGCGGAGTCGCTTCAGCTCGACGCTGCCGTAAGCATTGGGTTCTTGCTATCCAATCAATGCCAGAATCCACACATCCAAGGCTGTAACTTCACCCCTCAAGACACAACCCGATCGCCCTTGTTTACGCCTAACGATGATCGCACTCAAGCACTTTTTGTTTGTCTACACGCTTTCGTAAATAGTTGCCCTGCAGGAGAATAAGAACAGCAGGGTCGCCACGCAAGAGACTAAAATAAGAACAGCTGGCAGTGTGCTGGCACTCAGCAGAGAAGATCTCAGCCACTCCATGTGCTCTGCCTTTGTAATTTCAAAAACCATTTCAGGGTCACTTATTATCCTCAATACGACCACAAAAACTAAAAACAGTCACTTTTATTAGCTCCCTTGAAATCACAGAGAAAATGTAAGGCAGTTTCCACATATATAATAAGTCAGTAAAGGCAGCCAAAAAAATATCAGCTCATGAAGGAATTGAAGTCAACACCGACCTAGAAATGAGTGAAATCTTAACGCTCTGATCATTACACGGTACCATTGTTGGTTGAAGCTGAAATCTTCCCATAAAAACTATTGCCCCCATATAGGCGTCATTTTGGTTAATTTCAATAGACGTTTACTAATAGCTTGCGGCTTAATTTCTATTATGCAATGTTTAGCAACCTAACATAACCTGCGTGCGCTAATCTGATCGTTCCTACACCACAAGGTTTAAAAAAAGATAGTGTTTATATTGCCGGCAGCCGGTAGAGTATATAGACCGACCGAATGCCGGCAGTGCTTTCCTATAGGAGGGTTTTAAGTGACGTACTCTGGGGAGTGTGCCGAGGCTGATCTGGTGCTGCCGAACGGCGAGGAGCTGCCCAGGCTAGAGGAATACTGCGACCTATGCGTGATGTCCACCTCAAAGATGCTCGTCTGCGAGCTAGCTGCATACTGCCAGGACAATGTCTGTAGGGCGTGTTAGGTTACGTTACGTTAGGTTAAGCTCAGGTCCTTGACTATCCTTGACAATAGTGATCAATTGAGAAATGTCGGAGAGCAAAAATAACTAAATGGCGGCTTAAAGCTAAAAATACAGCAAGCCGGCAAGACAGGCTCACCAGAAATGTGCCGGCAGATAAACCACGTGGTTATGGGCAGCCAATAAAAGAAAACTGCCGGTAACTTGTTTCCCGGGATAATGTGCCGGTTGCCGGTACTATAGGCGCGGCTTTAGAAAAAGGAAATTTCAGCATACGCCGCTAGCAAAGCGTTTCAAAATCATGCGCCAAAGTTAAACGATCACAAGCAAAACAGTCACATATAACTTATTAGGTGAAAACTTCGTATGCACCAAGAACAATGAGACGTCTTACCTTAAAACAAAGAAAATCAAAGGAGGATGTGCGCTAACCATTGGCACCGTTTCATTCAGGCTCCATGGAACGACAGAATGGTCATCTGTATTGCTTTGGAGTAATTGACCAGTGCATTCATTTCAGAGACACAATCAGACGCTAGTTGAAACTACGAAGTGGTATGCGATGTCATTATATACACGAAAAACAGTTAGCGCACGCACTATCGCCACAGCAACCTGATACAGATGGCTCACAGCCGTCGCAGCGGTTGGGCAACGGCTAACAACCATGCAATGGCCACAATGGCAGTTATTTGTTTCGGTTGAAATTTGGTAATTAGGTTTGAAAACCATAGATAATAGAACAAGCACAAAAACAAGACATGTGCTTAGATTCTGGACGAGCCAGGCAGCCTTTAATAACTATGACGTAATTTTTAGAAAAGCCATGTGCGATAGTGCTGCTACTGTACTTACAGCGGCTTGCAGCATTAAAAGTGTGACATAGGTGTTCCGTGCATCTGTGGTGTGGTTATCTGGTGCAACGCCTCCTAGATTACCTGTGCCTGCCGGACTGCCGGCGGTCACTTGGGAAACGGCGGTCGTTGGAACTACGGTGATGGCGTTACTCAAGTAGGGTTGTCTTCAAATAAGTCTTTACGTTTTTGAGGCCTGTATGCAACCAAATTAACGATAAAAAGTTTTGAAAAGGTGTAAACGTAATTATAATTAACCCTACGTAAGTTACGGCGTCATTTAGCAAGCAATTTTTATGATACAACAAATCCTCTAAAATTAGTAGCAAACTCCAAAATTGCCGATCTCAAAGGCCGAGACAAAAATTCTTACCCCTACGTAGGCAGCGCTGCCATAAATGACCGGTGTTTCGCGCTTACCCGGCAGGCACAAGAAATCTAGGAGGCGTTGTCTGGTGTGACGCCACGCCAGCGAAAGCTGCCGACAGGCTGAGAGTGTTCTTTGGTGTTCTCTGGTTCTCTCCTGAAACGTGCTGAGGGGCGCTGTAAACGTTAGCAGTGGCCGTGGATGCAGTCCGTGACGCTTTGGAGCCTTATATTGTTAAAAATTCGTAATGTCAGTTGTCGTTGATGGTAGCGGTGATGCCAGAATGCAAGAATATTCCAAGCTGGCTGCCGACCTAGAACAGCAAGAGCTGGAGGTAAGCACATCAACCGAAAACTAAGCGTCCTGCGCTCCGCGCCTTCGTGTGGGTGTGAACGACGGCGGCTTGCGTGTCGTGGGCCTGACTTTGAATCGCTCCCCGCTACAAGCTGAACGCAAACGAAGTAATGTGTGTTAGGTCGCTGTCGAACTGTAACTTAAGACGCTCTTAAGTTTCTTAACGTGCCAAGAGAAGTGTAAATTCAAGCGAACTAAGCGCGACTGGCGCGTACATGTAAATGGGACCCTGTCTGGCGAGCCGCCGTGCTTTTTGTGGGGCCCCACCTACAATAAGCGCAAACGGCCGAAACTTCAATTAATAAATGTTATTGTCTCTCGGCTTGGAATTCAGTTCCCGATGGGCGTTTACTCATACTCGTCGTTGCGCGCTTTGATTCCCCGAGTCTGAGACACGATCGAGACCGACCTCTTAATTGCACAGTCGCGCACACAGCAAAATAATGTTCTATAATTTCTGCAACGCGTCGTTCATTCCGTTAATTAAAACTACCAACATCGCCCACGTACTCGTGAACAACGTTAGACACGCACTCGCGAAATTCGCGGCGGACGACGCGTCGTTGATTCGGCTTGGTTCTGTTTGGCGTTGCATAAGTCCGTTGCCAGACTTTTTGGGGTGGTTGTTGTCACACTGATATCAAATTTAGCGGAGAAATTCGCTCGTGTAGTTGTTGCTTCTCTGTGAGGGTTTGGTGTCGACCGAGGTGCATTTTGCGAGAGTGTGTGCGCGACGTAATTAACGCTATGAACCGCGCGTTACAGAAGTTGAAGCGCGTTCTCTTTCTGTGTGCGCAGCTGTGCAATTGAGAGGTCGCGTCTCAGTAGAGACGATCAGCTGTGAAAAAAAAAAGGGTGGGGGGGGGGAGAGCGCAGCGCGCCCCGTCGTCCCCAATACTGAGACGCGATCTAATTGCACAGCTACGCACACAAGAGAATGCGCCTCGACTTCTGTAAGGCGCGCTTCATTACGTTAATTACGTCGCACACACACACGCAGACAAGTTCATCGCATTCACGAAATGCACGGCGAACGACATGTCGTTGATTCCCTTATTCTAAGACACGATCTCTTAATTGCACAGCAGCGCACACAGCAAGAGAACGCGTCCCAACGTCTGCAAGGCACGGTTTATTCCATTGATTAAAACGGCCAGAGTCGTTCATGCACTCGCAAAATGCACCGCGGACGACAGCAAACCCTCACGAAGAAGCCACAACTACAGGGGCAAATTTTTTTGCTAAATTTGGCGGCAGTCTAGCTACACTAGCTTTCTATGTTTGGCAACAACTTATGCAACGTCAAACAGAACCTGCCGTTGATTCCCTGATTCAGAGGCACGTTCGAGACCGACCTCTTAATTGCACAGCTGCGCGCACGCACATCAAGACATCGCGCCACAACTTCTGCAACGCGCCGTTGATTCCGGTAATTGAAACGGCGAACGTCGCGCACACTCTCGCAAAATGCACCGTGGACGACACAGCCCTTGTGGAGAAAAACACAACTACAGGGGCGAATTTCTCTGCCAAACTTGGTGGCAGTCTGGCAACACTGGGGCTCTTAGATTTCCCACGATCGTTTTCCTTAGGCTGCTCCATCCCCCCCCCCCCCACTTGCGGCCCTCTTCAGTCTTGTATTTTTTTGTTGTTGTTGTTCTCATGTCATAACAACTAGTCTAAACTGCCGCACTTCTAAATTACATTCTGGTTGGCGTTCGTTTTTCTCGGGTCGTGGAAGCTCTCTGGAAGGTTTTGGGCAGGTTTCGGGCTAGCAGACGCTGAAAAGGTACGATACACGCTCGGTGCCGTTTTTGTGAGGGCTCGATGGATTGCAATGTGGGCGCTTGAGGACTGCGCCTTCACTTGTCATTACGCATGGTGTTATCTTCAGAAGCTTGTTCTGCCTTGCGAGATGAGGCGATTACGAGTGGCGGCGAGTGTTTGAAGCTGCTGTTGATCGTTTTTGTTGTTTCTCGTGAAGCTTCCTCCTGTGAACAACGCGGTGAACTATTGCCTGCTGACTGCGTCGTGCACATGCCTCAAAAGTTATGTACTACACGTTCGTATGCACGCATAGAGACAACTTTGGAGCTTTTTTTTTTCCGTAGTAGTGAAGATCTTGGTAGTTCTTTGCGGAACCGTACCTGCTTTCTGTGCTCTTAGCGAAGATGATTGTGGTCGAACTAGCTCGCTCCGTCGTATGTTTGCTTGCGTGAACCTCTCAGAACCTCTGTGCTGACTACGCCATTGATCTTCGATCGTGATTGAAGGCCCTAGATCGCGACTGTTGGTGACGCTCGCTGGTTGCGAACGGCGTGCTAACCCACTTCGATCTGTAGGCCAGCAAATGTTGTATGAGATTATACGATACGACGCGAGGAAAAAAAAAAAGACTGAATGCAGAAATTCGAATTCAGAATTCATTACACATTTCATCGTTGTCTTTGTCTTGTTTAACCTGTTGTAGTAATAATGCCATCCAGTATGTACTAAGACCTTGGGTCAAATCAAAGCTGATATACATGACATTTGTAAAGTACCACTTAGGACTAGAAAACACGCCCAGGCAAGTTCCAAAACTAGTTGAAAACGTGTCTAACTTCATTGTATATACAACGCGCACTCGTGGTACCGATACGTACGCATGTCTAACGTAAGTTGGTCAACGCGTGTTTGCGACGCATATGACGCGATAACTGAGCAGGTATATATCCTCGAGCTATTTTGGGGACATGATCACTTTCGCGTCATGTTGTGCAGTGACTGATACATGTACTAAAGAGACGTGAGCTTGTTGAGCTGTCAGCGTCGCGCCAGCTGTCTGTTTCGTTCGCGGACGCGGCGAGTGATAGTGCGAGCGTACGAAGTCGTACCCCAAATGCATACGCTCGAGGGCATTATTTCAGCTTTTTTAGCGAGCTTAGCTACGTATTTCCAAGCGGACAATGCAGAAAAAAAAGCAACGTGCACGCAGCGCATCGTTTTGTTTGCTGCCACGACGGTAGTTTGTTTACGTTTACGCTGGCTGTCCCAGCGTTCAATTTTGCGATCTTCGGGCAGCTTTGGGTTGCCTCGGGCGTGGAGGAACAAAAACCTGAGGAGAGGGCCCTATCTTATCCCAATGCATTGCGAGAAGTGTGGCGGAAGTGGTGTCAAATTTATGGGGCAAACAAAACAACAGACGCTCCGCGGCGTGCTCTCAGCACTGATTCGCTTCTGTGCAGACTTAAAGCCCCGGCGTAAACTTGACGCGTATTGTATGATTTGCATGCAGTAAAGTTGCGAGCTTACCATTCCGAGACTGTTCGTGCGTTGCAGGCTCGAGCACGGCGTGCTGAAGTACTTCGTAGAGTGTTTTTGTGCAACAGCACAGAAAGCACCGGTACGTGTCGTAATCATAATAATTCAGCCCCTGCATTATCGTATTCGGACTAACCCGGCAGTGACTAACGCGTTCTGCTCGCTGTAAGGCCTTTTTTTTTTCTTTGGTCAGATTTCTCGATCTACGGGCCGATTAGCAGTTCTTTTCTCGTCTATAGTGTCGGTGTGGCAATGCACGATTTTGAGAGCTTCCTTCGTAGCTATTCCGTGCAATGCCAGCCTAGTAGTACTTGACGTACTTCACGTCAGTAAGAAGGCACCAATGTATTGTATACGCGATCGTGCTCGTAAAGTATGCTGTTCCAGTGCACACTCAACTAACACGCAGCGAGCGCACGCCGTACAATACATACACATTTAGTCCGATAACTATAAAAGTTTATTGTCCTTCAGTAGGAACGACTCGATTTCTAAAAACGCCGCAGGTCGCGGGTTCGAATCCCGGCTGCGGCGACTGCATTTCCGGTGGAGACGAAAATGTTGTAGGCCCGTGTGCTCAGATTTGGGTGCACCTTAATGAACCCCAGGTGGTCGAAATTTCCGGAGCCCTCCACTACGGCATCTCTCATAATCATATAGTGGTTTTGGGACGTTAAACCCCACGTATCAATCAACTTCAAAGAACGCGACACGAGGCCTGCAACACTGAACAAAAGATGGCGTGTATTCTCAGTTGACACAATGAGTAAGAACCAACGAAGCATACAGCTGAGAGCTCCGCATGCAAATACCATGCATTATTGATCAACAGTGAAGCGAACATACGTAAAAAGTGCCACCAGGTACATCCACTGACCTCCTTTAAAAAGGTTGGACGACGCATTTCCTCTCTCCCACGCAGGCGCAGGTGAAGACACCGGAAGGTCCCTTTGCTGTCCCGTAAGCTGGCGATTTCTGGCCGTTTTAGGCGCATAAATAAAATATTATCTGTTCGAAATTGTTGTTGTGATGGCATTTTTTGTGTTTGATTATAACATTATGTGGTCATCCAACGCTACAAGAAAAATCACACTGTAGCGGCGCTGTCCGAATACGACGGAATGGTGTAGTATAGAACTATTGCATACAATAAACCATGCGATTAGGCATCAATTGGAACGCTAACGCTACACTAAAAATGACACACCGTAGCGACCTAGTTGTAGCGACGCTGTCCGAATACGACGGAGTACTGTATCGTACTACCTTACAATTACTCATCAGTGAGGTAACAGAAAACAGCCCCGCCGCAGTGGTCTAGTGGCTAAGGTATTCGGCTGCTGACCCGCAGGTCGCGGGTTCGAATCCCGGCTGCGGCAGCAGCATTTCCGATGGAGGCGGAAATTTTGTAGGCCTGTGTACTCAGATTTGGGTGCACGTTAAAGAACCCCAGGTGGTCGAAATTTCCGGAGCCCTCCACTATGGCGGCTCTCATAATCATATGGTGGTTTTGGGCGTTAAACCCCACATATCAATCAATCAGGTAACAGAAAAAAAATTGTCATAGGTTTTTTAACAAAAAAAAGAGCAACGAGTGCAATGGTAGCAAAGGTTTGTCATTTGTAAGAGATCCTGGAAAGGAACAGCGTTGGGATGGCATCATTTTGAAGATTAGTT